AACTGTCAAAAGTAAAGAGTTCCCAATACCAGGAACCACGAATACAAAAAATAATCATCATCTAATTTAAAAAAAGTGATAGTATAAACAAAGCCAACATGGTTCCACAAAAAATCATTGTGAATTTTGGATACCACATATGTCAGAGTATATTCATTAACTGGAAGAGACATGGTTAACAAAGTCAGCAAGTGAGTAAGCATGGCAACAGACCAGCCAATGGGAGCTGATAGCCTGGGTGTGGTTTGGCTCTGTACTTTGCTAAGAATTAAAACTGAAACTGATATCTGCTCTGAGCTGCTGCTGCTTGTGTTTTGCTTATGTTACATTGAAATAATCTACAAATGGTATTGTAAACTTTACTCATTTACTACGTTTATAAAGAAGTTAATGATCCTGCTGAATCAGTCATCTGTTTTCTGGACTTGAATTTCTGCTGCAAACTCTAACATGCACATATGGGGAAATGGACAGGATCCTAGGGAGTACGCGTGCCAGCCCCTGTGTTTTAGACCCATGTCCCTCCTGGCTTGTGAAAGCTTCCCAGGAGGTGACAGGCGGGTGGACTCTGGCTGTGATGAATGCTTTCCTACAGGAGGGGACGGTGCCCCAGCATTTTAAGGAGGTTGTGGTCTGCTCTCTTCTTAAGAAGCCATTTCTGGACTCCACCAGGTTGGATAATTTCTGACCTGTCTCTAATCTTTCCTTTTTGGGGAATGTTGTTGAGAAGGTAGTTGCTCAACAGCTCCAGAGGTTTCTGGATGGAATGGATTATCTCAATCCCTACCAGTCAGGATTCAGGACTGTATTTGGGACAGAAACAGCATTGATCACACTTTTGGATGATTTCTGATGGGGGTAGTGTATCCATCCTTGTTCTACTTGACCTCTTAGCTGCTTTCAATACCATTGATCATAGGATTTTCCTGGGGTGGCTTTGGGGGATGGGAGTGGGAGGCCTTGTGCTGTCCTGGTTCACTTCCTTCCTCTGTGGCCACTCTCAGTGTTGATAGGAGTGGGGAGATCCAGCCCTCGCCCACTGCTTTACAGGGTTCCGCAGGGCTCAGTAGTCTCTCTGAGCATTTATATGAAGCCGCTGGGTGAGATCATCCGTCACCATGGACTGAGATATCACCAATATGATGATGATACTCAGCTGTATGACTCAGCCCGTGGTGAGTTAAATGTTGCTGTGTCCTCCCTCTCACAGTGCCTGGAGGCTGTTAGGGGCGGGATGGGGAGCAATGGGTTGAAACTAAACTCTTGCAAGACCGAGTGACTCTAGGTTTGGGGTTCATTGGCTCAGGGAGAATTGCCATCTATGGTCTTGGATGGGGTGGCTCTACCCCAAACAGACCCAGTGCATAACCTAGGGCTTTTCCTGGACTCACAACTCCTGGTTGAAGAGTTGTGCAACAGTTATGCCCTTTCCTGGACCAACGGTCCCTACTCACAGTCACTCATGCCCTGGTCATTTCCCATCTTGATTATTGCATTGTGCTCTACATGGGACTGCCCTTGAAGAACATCCAGAAGCTCCAGTTGGTGCAAAATGTAGCGGCCCGCATGGTTTTGTGCAGACCTCAGTGTGCACATATTTCATCTTTCCTGCGGGAGCTGCATTAGTTGCCGATTTGCTTCCGGGTGCAATTCAAGGTGCTGGTTGTCACCTTTAAAACCCTTCATGGCTTGGGACCAGGTTATCTGAGGGACCATCTCTTGCTGGTCACATCTACCCGACGCATCAGAGTGGGGAGGCAGGGAATGTTGCAGGTCCCATTCCTGAGGGAGATACACCTAGTGGGACCCAGAAGGGCCTTCTCCATGGTGGCTCCCTCTCTCTGGAACATCATTCCCCCAGATATTAGAATGGCCCCCTCTCTAATCTTCTTTTGGAAGGCACTGAAGACCTGGTTCTGCCAGTGGGCCTGGGGAACCCAGAGCGGGATGGAGCCCATCAAATGCTCATGTGATCTGCTGTTGTCGGGGCGGGGGGGTGGGAGTTGGGGGGTGATTCTTTTTGTTAGTTTTAATTTTTTATTTTGTTTTAAATATGGTTTTACATTCTGAGTCTCCATGGGCGAATAGGCGGCAATATAAATTCAATAAATAAATATATGAATTGAAAAGAAGGCATATCATCAAGAAAAGATATGAATAAGCAGCCTGGAATTGTAGAGACAGTATTAGAAAAGCAGCGTGCCCTGCAGAACATCCTCCAAGGAAATAAGATTGGCCCCAAATATGTTGGTATTTTCCAAGGCTCACTCTATGAAAATATTATAAAAAAGCAAAGGTAAAATATCCTGCATAGGACCGAAATTGACAAGAGTAGCAAGTGGATGTTTAACTATACTGCTACCTAGTGTTTAAATAAAGACATTACTTTGCTCTATGGTACTTGCTTGATTCCCAAGTTAATATTAATGATGCATTCAAAAAGTACAGTAGGTAGGTCCTGGTAAAACAGAAAATAGGAACAGAGTTTATTCATGTATGTAATAATACAATTTGGTATAAACATGTGGAGTAATAAGTCTGGATCCCGATATTGGGTATCCATGGTCTAACCTTATAGTTTGGTTTACTTAAAAATGACTTTCCATTCTTTAACTAGGAAAAATATGTAAGGACTGTAGTTCTACAGAACTTGTTTCAAAAATGTTATTCATTAAATAATCTTATGTATGCCTATTGTTAATTCTGGTGGAGCTCAGTTTCAGTGATGTATCATTGGCTGGTGCTAGTAGCATTACCTTGAACTGACTGGAGAGCTGATAACTGCTTTGACAGAATGTAGTAATTCAAGTAAACATGATTAACAATAAGCACCATTCTAGCAAATGAAGGATATCAGATTTTTTGCTATAGATAATACAAGATACATTATACTGTATTGGCTTCCTAATTGTTGAAAGGTTAGGTAAGAAAACATTCAGTTTGACTTTAAAATGTAAACTTTTTATTTTAAGGTCAAAAAAATATATTCAAGATTGTGATTCTTAAAGTTGCTCTTACATTATCACAAACAAGCTTCAGTAAAATTTTTCCAGAAGTGAAGATTTCATTAGCATTTTATTTATGGGTTCCATCACAAGTATAATTGAGAACAAGACTAAAGACATTTTAAATCACATATATTTCTACAAGTGCAATATTGACAACTTTGCTATTTCACATTTTCAGTGTATTCATTTAATAATTCAAATTAGAATTATTATAGAAAAAAATTCATTCACAAAAAGTGAGCAGTTCCAACAATTAATTTAATTTTGTTTCATAGAAAAAATTCCAACTATAATTATAATCATATCAACTTAATTTAATATCCTATATACTTCCATGAATCATTTCTGAAGCTGCCAATCCCAATACAAAGCAGGAAACTTAAGCAGGGATCAGAATAAAACAAGCCATTTTTCAGATTCAGGTTTATAAAATAGAACTTTAAAAATTATATTTTCAGTGCATTATAATGGTATAATTCCTATGTAAGATAACAAGTATGGCTTTAAACCCAGCTTGCCAAAGAATATCCAGAAAAGTATTCTTTCCTCTGAACACTAAACTTATGGGGTGGTGGTGGAGGGAAATCTTTTACATTGTCAATAGGAGGGAAAATGTTGGCTTGCCAAATATGGCCTTAAAATATATAAAGCCTGTATAGAAGTACAGTTACAGAATTGATATTTGGAAGCTTATGTTCATTTATAGTGACATATACCAATGCATCGTGATACAAAAGAAAGAAAAGTAGTCTTAGATTCAGCTTATGAAAAAGCTGAAATACTGATTATCAAGACTAGTTTTCAGTTAAAATGTTCAACAATTGCTGTAAGTATTCTACATTTCAAACCAAGGCAAAAATCATTTTTACAATTATGAAAAATCCATTTAACATTATTTGAATTTTCAATTCTTATTTCCTTACTGATTACATATACATTCTATAAAAATGTAGGAAATGAGAGACCCAGAAACTGTTTCACCATGCACTTATTCTTTAGCTGCCAGTGTGCTTGGATTAAATATTGCTACTTTCAATATGTTTACACATTGTACTAGAATAGACTTGATGCATCTTCAAATAGTAGCAGACTAGATTCACGGTATTTTCAACTCCACCTCATTCCAGTAATGCGCAAAGCAAATCCTGAGCCCTAACCTAGAGAAGTCTTAACTATGAAAGGTAGGATAGTGTGCATTGAATATACATTTCAAGGAACATGGAGCAGCTTTCTGTGAGCTGTTTGACAACATTTAACCAGATATTTCCTTAGTTTGAAAGAAAAATTGATCAATTTGGGAGCCACCAATGTTCGATTTTGTTTTAATTCTTACTCAAAGCATGAATATTATAAAGTATTGTTCTGTCATATATTAGTGTTAAACTTTGGACCTATAAAAGTTATTTTATTATTTAAATGTCTAAAATATTAGATCCAGAAATCATGATTGCCACTGCTTATAATGTATCCCACTGAGAAGCAAATTTTGGTCTAGACTTAAGTAAAATAAAAGATTGCAAAACGTTTGTGGTTTTCAACTACAGCCCATAAATATTATAATTTATTAAAATAAGTGTTATCTGAATTTTTAAAGCTCACATTTAATCTTCACATCCATACACTTGGCAATTCGATGTATAATACAGTATTTCAAATATATAGCTTTCTTGCTATACATACACAGTATATTTTAAATACTAATTTTAATTTTAAATACCGTATTTGCCGGCGTATAAGACGACCCGGCGTATAAGACGACCCCCCACCACCACCGGAAACGCCCTCCAGAAATCCCCGGGGCTGCAGCGGCAGGGCAGAGTGCCAGGGGCCGTGGGAAGAGCAGGAAGGCTGCAGCCTCGGGCGGAGCGAGGCGAGTGGGATGAAGCGGAAGCGACGCAGGGGATCCAGGAAGCCAGAGGCGCCTTCGCTGCGTCCAACAAGCATCCGAAAGCCGGCAGTGGATATACCGGCGTATAAGACGACCCCCCCACTTGGAGGCATGTTTTTCGGGGCAAAAAAGTCATCTTATACGCCGGCAAATACGGTACATTTTCTGAAGTCTGTCAATTTTACTTAGTAGCTTAGAATCCCTAATATGATAACCAATGCATATGAAATGGAGGAATAAATAACTGCCTTTCCTTATTACAAAATATATTATTGAATCTTCAATTCTCAGTGAGGTTTTCTAATCAGTTGATAAGAAAGATGATTTTGGAAAATATTGCTATAAGCAATTTCTAAAAAGAAATCACCACAACTTTATGTAAGTGTATACAATAAAGTTCTTGAAGTGTACCATTTGGATTTTAAAAAAAACATTAACTTTTTTTTATTTCATGTTTCATTTCAAAGTGGACAAAACAAGTGGTGGCAGTTACAGAAGTTAACCAAGAGTTCTTGCCACTTTACTCTTAAATCAAATAAGTAGTAGCAACTATATTTTTCTCATTCCTGATTAAATCTTTTTCCTAAATAGTTACTTTGACAGTGAACTGTGGCAAAATAATGTCATTAAAATTGATAAAAAAGCACCACATTCTTTTGAGATGTTAGTGTCTCCTGAAATCCATTAAAATGTCTCATGTGAATTTACCTGAAAGGGAAAAAAAAAGATCAGTAATCAAATAATTCTTGTTAAGAGGATAAATATAACACAATGCTTACAATATCTTCTGGGAAAATCATTAGCTGAAACTAAATCACCTATCAAATTCTAACAGTGCCAACCTGAGACATGGATTATATTTATTATCTAACCTATAGAAACATGAAATTGCAATGCAATGGCAATTGCTTTGTTGAGTAACAACAGCACTAGAGAATTTTAAAGTGCTCCTCTAATGGCTTTTTCCCCATTCCCCATTTCAGTGTAACAAATTCTCTGTTTACTGGAATAGGAAAAGAAGAAGAAAAACTTTATAAATATATTAAGTTAAGTGCTGAAAATGATTTTTTTTACTAAACGGAACAGCTTGCATCTCAACTCTATCATCATCCATTCAAAAATGGTTTACAAAGCATTCCATGTGACTTAAAAGCAAAAAATAAAAAAATAAACTAGTTTTCTATCCAGAGTGTATCTAGCCAGAAAATATGTCTAAATATATATGTCCAGAGAACATGTGTTCACTAAAGAACATTACACCTGTTCTAAAAATACAGTGCTTAAATGCTTGTGAATTCTTTAGAATTTTCAATATTTCTGCAGAAATGACTTAAAATATGAACTTTCTTCACAAAATCCTAAAATCTGATAAAAAGAACCAAACGAAAACAAATGAATCAAATACACAGTACTTGATCATCAATTTATTGGGGAAAATTATTCAGAATTTATGTCATATTTATACAGAGATATTGAAATGCAAAAGGTTTCACAAACTTTTGAGCACCACTGTTATATGAACTGCAAGGGAGCATATATAGCAGCAATACTCAAGAAAGCTGCATACAAAACTGTTTTCAAAATTTAAGCAAGATACATCAAGTCAGAAATCGCTTTTTACAATGTTTTTTTAAAGAATTAATAAATATTAAAAATGGAGTAATTTCAACATCAAATGTTATTTATGCAATTCAATCCAAAATAATATGGAATTACAGTATATATGCTTGCCTTGTGTAAGGAAACTGTCTTTTGATAAGAATAAAATACTCTGATTTCCCCACTTTATAGGAGAAAGACTTCTATATTCAGCAGACCACCTCTTAGCTCATAAAACATTTCTTTTTTTACATTCAAATGTTCTAATTCAAAGTGTAACTCAGTTGCAGTCTTACATTACTACACCAAGGTATGGTCTCAGTAGAACTTTTCTGAAACCAAGAAGTCTAGTTCTGAATAAGAGTTTCCAGAAAACTCCCATCTTAAATATTATGTCATCTGGAATATTATGATGAAAAAGTGTAAAATAATAATGTAATTATATGCAGAAATGGACTCCTGCTGTAAGTTACTGTAGAATCATACAGGGGCTTCCAGAGAAGCAGCTTGTAAAAGATTCTTAGTGTGAGATTTTGGGAATGCAACATTAGAGGAGGGAGAGCATGACACAGCAAGCTCAAACTTAGGAAGCATCTTACTGGTAGATTTTTATATAGAGATCTGCTTTGTATTTCACACATTCTTTCCTTTTGTATACAGGTAGTCCTCAACTTTCAACAGTTCATTTAGTGACCATTCAAAGTTGCAACAACACTGAAAAATGTGACATGATCATTTTTCAGTTACAACCTTTGCAGCATTTCCATGATCATGTGATCAAAATTCAGATGCTTGGCAACTGGTTCATACTTATGACCATTGCTGTGTCCCAAGGTCATGTGATCTCCTTTTGCAACCTTCTGACAACAAAGTATATGGGGAAGCCAGATTCACTTAACTACCGTGTTATAACTTATCAACTGCAGTGATTCACTTAACTGTGGCATGAAAGGTCGTAAAATGGGACACAACTTATTTAAGTACTACGCCTTACATGATAAGTATCTAGTATTTTTGGAGTTTAAACAAGTTTTAAAAAATCATATTTAAATCTGAATTGTACTAAGTAATAAATACAGCATTTTATAATCCAAATAAATTCTAGTATAAGCAAACATCTCATTATTTAAGTATTTTACACAATTCTTTCTCCATCTTTGATTTGTCTTTCATATATGTATATCTTATATGAATGATTTCTGCCTAAAAAAGAAGAATCTGTAGTGAATGACTGATCATGAGAGAATCAATATACCATAATTAATCAGGCAAGTAAATTGTAACTAATTAAAAGAATTACCTATTGTTTAAGTTTATTAAAGAATGAAAAAAAAATTTCTTTTATATGTAACAACCATTTGTATAGAGCTGGGGGGAAAAGTTCATTACTTCTGGTAAATATCACCTGAATAAATGCTTCTTGAAATTTCTCTGCCAATATATCTGTATTATCTGTCCATGTACAGGATTAATTTTTATTTTCTGTATATGTTTTAAGAGATCATTTTGCTAAGCATAGTTTTCAATTGTGACCGTCAATTTAGCTATTCACATTTCTCAACAGTTGAATAGGAAAAGGAACTCTGATGAAATATTAACTATTGTTTTTTAAAATAGAAAAATTATGAAACTTATTATTTTTAAATCAAAATAAGCAATGTTTTTAGCAAGGCTAATTTTGCCTTAACTTATGAGTTTTGTGGCATATAAAGGAAATTAATCTGAAAGGGATAACAATCAACTTCAGATGTAATATATATTTTTCTAATCTAGAATTTTTTTTAAAAAAATTACTTGTAAAATCACAAATTTTGATTTTTTAAATTACAGATATGTGTTTTTTTCAGTAGTTATAAAACCTCAAAAAAGAAATGCATACCTCAAGATTTATTCAGGTACCCTTTCCCATCAATTTTTAAAACTGATTTGAAATAGTAGAAACAAATTAATGGCAGATTTTTAAATATTTTCTGCATTTCCTATATGAACTTTTAAATTAAAGTGGTTGAGCCAATATCATTAAATATTTCTTCATATACAACAATACTAAACACTTTTTTCAAACTGAAAGCATTTAAAGCATCTAGCAGTGATTATCTTGTAAAAACAAGACATTTCAAAATATAAACTAACCTGAGATATACTTTGCTCCGATTAACATTAACAGGCTACTCATTATAAAAAAGCCCAAAGGCAGACTACAGAAGATACTAGTTTCACCTGATGTCATCCAGAAGAGAGGTTCCAGTCAAACAAATCAAGAGAGAGATACGTGTAAATTGCACTATTTAAGAATTACATGAAGAAAATTAGAAGAGAAAGAAATTCTGTAAAATGCTACAGATAGTTCAGTAATAATTAGAAATAGGACAAACACTGATGCTTAGATATATTTCAGTCTTGCGTCTGGTGTCAATATTTAATATTACCGTGTTTCTCATATAATAAAGCCGGGTCTTATTTTTTTTTGAGCCCCGAAAAAATGGCTAGGCCATCTTTTCGGGGGTGACTTAATTCCCCCCCCCTGCATCTTCGGGTGGGCGGTGACGGCTTGGATGTTGACCTCGGCGTTGGTGGGGCACTTCGTATCGGGGTCAACGCAGGCAGCACCATATCCAGGTGTGCAACAAAAGTACTTCCTAATGGCAAGCCCCCCCACCATTCCCCCCATTTCACATGTTTTAATATAGGCCTTAATTTGGGGGGAGGGGCTTAATTTCATTTCATGCCTATAAAACATGCTGGGACTTCCTATTGGGGGAGGCCATATTGTTGGAGAAACAGGGTATTTAGACAGAAACATTTTACTACTAATAAAGTAGATTGTACAGACTTTCAAATAAAGCTGATATTAAACATTACATATATTGCAAGGAGAAAGAATGCACAATAAAAGGTGGAAGAATGAATTCATGTGTGTCCGATTATATACATACAAACTATCTCAAACTATCTTTGTTTTTCAAAAATATTGACTGTGTATGAAATATCATGTAATGTGGGCATTGCATACCTCTTAAGTCCAATCATGCATTGTGACTGCTCCATCATACACATTATACTATCAGCAAGTGAAATATACATGTACCAACTGTCTCCAGAGTTGAAAGCATAAAATTGCTATTGTTAATTATAAATGAGCAAGTACAGTACTAAAACCATTTATGACAGTCATATCTAGAAAGCTGTATAGATTGCAAACCTGCAATATTATATCATTTACCAAGGTTCACTGAATTCATTACCATTCATTTCAGAACAACTGTGCATAATGTTCTGCAGCAAACAGCACAAGACCTCACCCCTTTCCTAAGAATTGACCTCACCCCTTTCCTAAGAATTGACCTCACCCCTTTCCTAAGAGGCCTGTAGGGGGCATGCATAAGCACACCAACGTGCCTACCGTCCCTGTCCTATTGTTTCTCTTATTCTTTTATTTTTCTTATATGTACCCATTTCATGTATTCACAACTATGTATACATTTATACTTATTATCTTGTAAACAATTGGCAAATCAAATAAATAAATAAATAAAATAAATAAAGTAAGCAACAAGCATTTAAACTGCCCTCAGGAAAAAGTAGTGCATCTAATTTAAAGGTCTCAAGTTTTTACATATTAGTGCTCTTCACACTAATTTTGCAGAAATTGTAAATAAGGCTTCTCTCCTTTCCATCTTTCTCACCCAACTTATAGTCATGCTTGCTGAGTTTAAAAACTTATTTTTTAATAAACCAACATTTTAAAGCTAAACATACATTTTGTTTGAAATTAAAAAATATAATTGCATTTCTTGTGCTCTTCATACAGAATATGTGATATTATTCACAAATTTATTCCTGCCTGGGTTGCATTTCCAGTGTTTGACTAAGCACAAGGTTAGAGCTCTGATAAACCATTACTAAGATAAGTATTAATTGTGTTGTATTTTACTGATTTTAATGTAATGTCTATGGAAAATTGCCAAGACAATTATTATTGGGTACTATTAATATTACATTAATATCACCATTTAAAAATGTTTTACTTGACATTATATCATTGCATGCAAAGGAGAAATTCCAGTAGTTTCTGCAAACCAGTGAAGCTGTAATTTTGGCTCAGTCAACAAATCAACTAGATAATAATCAGGACTTAGAAACTAAACATTGTATATCATTGTCCTTTACTAGCCTGCCCATATCTTTCCAACAACACAGAAACTACTGCTTTGTATAAGGAAAAACATTGTTATGGACTTTTTGTTCTATTGTTGGATTTTCTAACTTACATTGCTCAACCCTACTGTTAAAAAACAAAAAATCCCCCCCCCGCCCCTCAAATTTTCTTTCTGCAGTTATTAGGACTTTTTTTTAAAAAAGCCATGAGTGTCTAATAAGATCTTGATTTGTTCTTCTATCCAAAACCAGAATCTATTGCCACATCCAAGAATCTTTGGTCTAACTGATGCATCCTCATCCTCCTGGCTGGAGGAGTTAATATTTTAGTTATTTTCATTTTTTTAAAATTACAGTGAATTTACACTTCAAACTTTCTGACTATACTTAAAAATAATCTTAAATCAAATTTACAGAGCTACAGTTTAAGCATGCTTAAAAGGACAATAGTCTAACTGAATTTATTAGAATATATTTCTAAATAGAAATAGGGTATCACTGAAAGTCATAAAATAGCACTAATTAATTAAACCAAATATATTTGATGAGAGTTCAGATATATTTTTACTTGCACTTTCATTAAAATGTACTAAAATGTATTAAAATATACTAAAAATGTACCTATCATGGCAAAATTTTGTTACCTCATTTTTCTATTTTTAGTAGCACAGTTGTCAACAATGAGGGATTGAATATTTATTTAGCTAGTTCATGTAGTACATAAAACAATTTACATTCATAATTAATCTTGATGGAAAATAGTTTCCATGGATTAATGTAAAAATAAATAAATATACAATCTGTATTTCAATAGTTTGAAACAAAACTGAAATAGACAACTTTTGTCTGGAGGCATTTTCAAAACGTCAAAAATTGCTTTAAGAATGCAATTTTTAAGCATTCTTAAGCAAGACTGACATGCAATTGTTTTAAGTGCTTGATGTAATTTATAAAGCATTTTCAACTGTTTCTGTTTACTGGTTAGATCTGCATTTTTTTCAGGCCTATCACTGTGACTGGCTTTGAGAAGAAGACTAAGGCCAGGATAAATCAAATTCTTGTGACTACATGAATTTATATATTTAGTATGATTAATTCCTGTATTTACAGTGTACGAATGGTTTTTAACTTTAAAATTAAATCTTAAAACCTGGTGGCAGGATTTGAGTATATTACCAGCTGTACTCAAGACTTTAAAATTTTTCATAGAACATAGTGACAAGTTGTAAATGCCAGTAGAAATGTATTCTTCAAATAATTTGAGAGTATATTTCTATCTTGCTACTACCTGCTTGTGCATCTCAACATAAATTATTCAAAAGTAAGTGTACACATTGTTCCATATTTTCAATTTTTAGGACACTTATTAAAACATGGTTGGCTTATAACTGCTACCACTATCAATACAAAAATCTTTTTTTTTTATTTGCTACAATCAGTTGTGTATGGAAAAGCAATGTCTCTTTTACAAGTAATGCATGAATGATGACTTACTGTTTCCTTGAGGTTCTGACATTTCCCACCCCATTGATTTCTTAACAGCTTTCTTCCATCTGGTATAACGATATTCACTTTCTGAAATCATAAGCAACATTTTTATCAAAAATTCAAACAATTATCTTTAACAAACAAGCACTTTGTAACATATGGAAAAGTCTTCTAAAATGCAGAGGAAATTCATTAACTGTCTGAAAAGTCAAAATTTAAATAAAAATAAGGAAAGTTTCAACCTCCCTCTCCCAATATAACTTTCCTAAGATAGTTCACCACTCACAGAGGTAGCACAACTATCCTGACAGAACAAACTATGCTAATCTTATAACAGTATTGTGATGACCTGGGGCGTGGCACAAAGGCAACACAGTCAAGTAAGCCAGAAGAGTCCCTGGGGAAAAAACTCTCCCAAGAACAGTCTTTAAGTGGAGGAAATTCAGTCCGAAAACAAAATATATACAAACTGTAAATAAAAATCCACACAAACCACGCTGCAGCAATTAACTTGATGGGCAAGATAAGGAATTGCAGACTTGAAAGGCCAACAAAACACACACAGTTGGGAAGATGCCAGGAACCCAGATAAGCCTCGACAATAACATAACTCACAATTTGCTTCCAATAAGTTTGCTGTGCATAGTTTCCCTTTTTAAACACTGTTCCTAGCTGCAGCTAATGAAGGGAATCGGGGCCCTTTCCTCCCCTGTAAGCCACACAACTCATGTTGCTCCCTTCTCCATTCCTCCCTGCGTGTCCTAGGATGAAAAGCGGGTGGTCCTGAGTCTTTCTCTGAATTCCCTCTGCCTTGCTCTACCTCTCTCCTGCTCTGCCCAGCCGGACTTTGCTCTTCCCCAGTTTCTTCCACAGCCAATGGAGCCACACTCCCACTCCCTGTCAGCTGCTTGGCCTCCCCCTTGGAATCAGATTCTGACAGGGGCATGACCAGTATGAATAAACTAGATTTGCATGATAGCAGAGATCAGATCTTAAAACCCTTCTTACCCTCTGGATTGATCTGTGGCTCAAAACGTTCACATGTTACTGCTGTGAAATCATCAGGATGTAGGCTCCAGACTCCCACCCCTTCTGCAGCTCCAGCTGCCATTGCTGCTCCAAGTGCTGTTGTTTCAGGCATAGATGGCTTTACTGATAAGACAGAAATTAAGCATTTGTACCTAGTCCTCGATAGAACAAAATGTATTTCGACAAAATGCGAACATTTTAAGTATTAAAACAAGTATTGATTGTGTTTCACTTTCATAACCTACTTTATTTTACTTTTCATTCAATTGCCTAATATCGGTAGCTAATGAATTAAAGACAAATATGCTTTTATGAAGAAGGATTATTTAATGAAAAAGAGTTTGCTAATTAATCTGTTGGAATATAGGTGTCCGCCTCCAAGAATTCTTCTTCTGCTTATCTTTCCAGCTGCCATAGAAGCAGGGGGAAGGAAGAATAATTGGACTTTGTGGGGAGAAGGGTGGTGGAGGTTTGAGTTGGTGAAATGTAAAAGTTGGGATGTTTTCTTGACTATGCTTACCTGCTTACTGCACAGATGTATCCTCTTATCTGTCTACACCAAGGTCAACCATCTTGGCATACCAGATGTGTGAAATGCCAACTGAAGATGCCTCACATTATATTATACACATCTCAGACTGGATGGCCAGTTTGAACTATTGTGGGTGGGAACATGGGATAACTTTGTATATGTGATTTTTGCAACTATTGTCTCAGATCTTGTATTCTTATGATTCTACCATTTCAATTTTCAGTAAAAGTCCTTTTCTCTATAACAATGGAGTCAAGGTTTTCTTTCTTAGATTTTGAATGGAGCCTCACCTGACAATAGGGAACGAATAACCAATGCAAACAAACTTTATCTTAATTGCTACCCTATATATTCAAAATGAGCTGTAGATTATTCCTTTGAACAAGTAATTAAAAAAGACAGTATTCTTTAACAAAACAAAAAACAAAATAAAATTTACATAGTCAGAGGCAATATTTTTCAAATTTCAACTGCCAAATGTAGTTAATCCACCATGTATTTTATCCATTAAATACTGCTTTTATATTGTGAATTCATATACAGAAGGCACCAAACCAAAACTATTACAGTGAAATTGCATCTGACATTTGACAGGTGCTCTTGCAGGTCTATATAGAAATCATTAAAAGTTTCATTTGGTTAATAGTAAATGCATATATTGTCTTTCTTCAGAAGCTTATAGTGATGCAAAAGGTTTGGCTACCATTTTATTTTCTAACAGGAGTTAGTAAGCATACTCACTGCCCTTTTAATTTTGCAATTCAGTAGATACTGAAACTTGGGTTTCTTAAATCATATTTCAGCACCTTCATTAATACCATTTCCCCAAAAATAAGAGCTAGCCTGATTTTAAGTGTGCACCTAATATAAGCCCTATCCCAAAATAGTGAAGCCCTATCCCAAAATAGCCCTAGTGAAGATTATCATCAGTCCAGGGGGTGTGGGTATGAACAGTACTGGAGGCAATAAAAGCATGGGGGCCAACAACATCCGGCAGCAGCCACGGTCTGTACAGCACAAGTGAGTTAATTACCTATCCAAGAAGCAGGCAGAAGCAGGGGGGGAGGCAGGTGATCTGGATGTGCTGTGTGGGCCGCAGGAAAGTCGGGAGTTGGTGAGCCTGGAGTAGCGGCCAGCTGCTTGGAGGCTCATCTTCATGTGGCAGAACCGATAGAAGGAGATAGATAGGAGGTAGAAGTGTGTGTGGGGAGGAAGACAGGTGATCCTGACGCTCTTCGCAGGCCACAGGCAAGCCGAGAGATGTGAAGAGAAGCCTCCTACAGCTGGCCAGCCCACTATCTCTCAGCTTGTCTGTGGCCAGCGCGACACATCCGGATTGCGTGCCTCCCTCCCCGTGCCTCTGCCTCCGTTTGCTGCCAGTGTTGCCACATGAAGATGAGCCTCCCAAAGTTGGTCAACCACTCTGGCCCACTGGCTCAGCTCTCCCACGGCACATCCAAATTGCATACCTGTTGTCTGCTGCTTGGACAGGTAATCAACTCATCTGTGCTGCACAGGCTGTGCACCGCGAATGCACTGACCAAGGACCTGGCGGGTGGCAGCTTCTGCCAGATGTCAGCCCTGATGTGCTCGCCACCCTTTGTGCACATGCTAGGGGAAGTGGGATGCCCAGCTGGGCTGATCACTCTGAAATCGTGTTTCCCCCAAAATAAGCCGGAGTGCTTATTTTGGAGCCCCCAAAATGTAAGACTCGGTCTTATTTTCAGGAAAACATAGTATATGACATGCCTATATCCTTCCTTCCCTCCTATGACAGTATTGCTCAAATGCTCTTTAATTTTTAGAATACAGTCAATTTTCTAGAATACAGTCAGGAGTCAACTTCCTTACCCTTTAATCCCATTGCAGCATTTTTTTTAAATTTTTTTTTATTGATTTTTAAAACAAACATAGACAAACAAAACATAAAAACATCAAGCCATCTTCCATATATATACATACAGTGTGCCGGTTGGTTTACAAATTGTTTTGTGCTTCCACTTTGTAGTCTTCAATTACAACTACATTGTATATAATCTCGTATTTTCAATCAAATATTAAATACATTAATATCATTATTAATCAATCATTTGACTATACTTTTATTCATTCATGCTTTACGAAATAATATTTTACTTAATTTGTTCCATGACAGTTCATATTATCATCCCAAATCTATCCTAGAATCATTTTGTAGATATAATAAGAAAAGAATACATCTTTATATATTTAGCATTTTCTAAAAGTCTACATATTTCATTACTATATTTTATTGTCTAACCATTGATAGATCCCAAATTTTATAAAATTGTTTATCATCTTGTTCTCTAATTTCAAATGTCAATCTACTCATTTCAGCACATTCCAATATTTTCTTAATGATTTCCTCCTGTGATGGTGTTTTCGCATTTTTCCAGTTTTTAGCAAATACAATCCTAGCCGCTGTTAATACATTTACAATCAGGTATTTCAAGTCTTTACGATATATTTCAGGTAAAATTCCCAATAAAAATATCTCTGGTTTCAAATCTATCTGTTTTTTTGTCATTTTTTCCAACCACATGTGGATTTTAGTCCAGTATTTTTTAGCATCCGCACATGTCCACCACATATGGTAATATGAGCCAGGTGTCTGATGACATTTCCAACATTTTTCGGATTTATTCTTGAACATTCTTGCTATTCTTATCGGGGGGAATAATTTTGAAACCACAATTTTTGCCATTTCTCTAGATCAATCCCATATCCAAAATTCTTCCTCCAAGCAATCATAGTTTCTTTAACTTGTTCTTCTTCTAGTTTAATTTCTAATAAATATCCATACAATTTTTTAATCACCTTTTCATCAGTACCTGTCAAAATCTTATCTAAATCAGTCAGTTTATCATAGAAACCTTCTGTTTTAGAGTCTTTATCATACCTTGAATGTATTTGCGCATATGAAAACCAATTCATCTTTATACCTTGTTCCTCTAGTTTTTGTATAGATTTAAGTTCACCCTTTCCATTCAATATTTCACCATATCTAACTGTTTGTTCCTTTTTGTATATTATAGGATAAGAAAATGCTTCAATAGTCGATAGCCAGACTGGAATTTTTATATAACATTGTCTTTTAGTCTTCTCCCAGTTTAACCACAGAGACTCCCGTATATAATGTCTTCTAAAATACCCCTGTGTTTTAGTTCCTTTATACCATAGAAAAGCATTGCACCCCAACAACAGATCATGTCCTTCTAATGTCAACAATCTAGTATTTCTTAATGTTATCCATTCCTTAACCCACATCAAATTTGTAGCTTGGTAATACAACTCCCAATTAGGCAAACCAAATCCTCCTCTTATTCTAGCATCTTGCAAAAGTTTTAATTTTATTCTCGCTTTCTTACCTTGCCATATATATTTCAACACAATTTTATTTAAATCTTCAAAGTAGTCTTTTCCAAGCCTAATTGGAATTGTTTGAAACAAATATAAAATTCTGGGTAATATATTCATCTTGATTGTTGATATTCTCCCTATTAATGACAATTGTAAATTTTCCCATTTCGCCAAATCTAGCGCTATCTGCTGTTTAAGTTTGATATAATTGTTCTCTTTTAGTGTATTGCATCTTGCTGTCAAGTATATCCCCAAGTACTTGATCTTATTCGTGACCTGAATTTTCAATAGGTCTGCCAGTTCTTCCTTTTGTCTTGGTAGCATATTCTTTGTCAAGATCTTTGTCTTATCTTTATTTATTTTCAAACCAGTCACCTTTCCATATGTCTCTATCTTTTCTATCAATTTTGATGCTGTTTCTAGTGGGTCTTCTAAAATGAAAACCAGATCATCTGCGAATGCTTGCAACTTAAATTCTTCCTTTTTAATTTTCATCCCTTTTATATTCTTTTCGTCTCTAATATTTCTATTTAGCACTTCCAAAGTTAACACAAACAACAGAGGTGATAGTGGGCACCCTTGTCTTGTTCCTTTTCTTATATCGATAGAGTCTGTCAGTTCTCCCTCAATCATTACCTTTGCCGTTTGCTTATGATATATAGCTTCTATTGTTTGAATAAATTTTCTAGCAAAGCCCATCTGTTCCAGCAGTAATAACATGAATCGCCAATTCACATTGTCAAATGCCTCTGTGCATCTAGAAATATCAGAGCCATTTGTTTTTCAGGATGAGCCTCGTAGTATTCCAAAGTGTCCAAGATTACTCTCATATTGTCTTTAATTTGTCTCTTTGGCAGAAATCCATTTTGATCAGGATGGATAAAATTATTTAAGTATTTTTTAAGTCTTTTTGCCAATATTGAAGCAAACATTTTATAATCTGCGTTTAGTAGGGAAATAGGTCTATAGTTCTTGATTTGTAATGGATCGGTCTCCTCTTTTGGAACAAGTGTAATATAAGCTTCTGACCATGATTTAGGTATCCTCTTCTTTAACATAACTTCATTCATAACTTCTAGCAATGGAAGATTCAACGATTCTTGTAATGTTTTATAAAATTCTGCCGGAAGTCCATCTGGGCCTGGTGCCTTTCCATTAATTTGCTTCTTGAGTGCTTCAGTTAACTCCATCATCGTTATATTACTTTCTAACATTGTTTCAATCTCTTTAGGTATCTGGGGTAACTTAGCATTCTGTAGGTACTGTTTAACTCTTTCCTCATCAATATTCTCTTGTGTGTATAGTTTCCCATAATAGTCTCGAATGATTTCCTTCTTCTCTTTACTACCATAACAAACTTGGCCTTGATCATCTATTAATTGCAATATTTTCCTTGATTCTTTCTCCTTTCTCAATTTTTATGCTAACCATCTACCTGGCTTATTTGCATCTTCAAAGTAGTTCTGTTTAGCACCTCTAATTTTCTGTGCTAATTCTTCTTTTTCTGTTAGACCCATTTTATGTTTAATTATATCCATTTTTAACTTAATGTCCTTTTTCTGTGGCATTTTCTGTAGCTCTTTTTCAAGTCCTTTATACTCATCCTCTAATGCCTTAGAGGCAAATCTTTTCATGGTATTTCTTTTCCTTCTATAGTCTATTATCAAGCCTCTGGCATATGCCTTCATTGTATCCCATACATTCTGGATTGATGTATCTTCTTTTTTGTTTTCTCTAAAGAAAAAAGCCAGTTCTTTCTCCATCCACTGTGTGAAGTCTTTTTCCTTTAAAATAGTATTATTTAATGTCCATCTAGATCTTCTTCTTTGTCCTTTCCATTTAATTGTCATTGGATTGTGATCTGCCCAAGTACTTGTTTCAATATTTATTTCTTGAATATTAGTTAACAATTCTGTTGACATCCATATCATATCTATTCTGGACCATGATAAGTGTCTATTTGAGTAGAAGGTGTATTGTTTAGTTTTAGCATTTCTTTCTCTCCATGTATCTTTTAAGTTTATTTCATCTACCATTTTAAAAAAAGATTTAGGGAGAGTCTTTCTATTTTGCTTTATTGTTTTCTGTGCTGTGTAGTCCAGTTTATTGTCTACAATTCCATTAAAATCTCTCATCATAACTATATTAACATAGTCCAGTTCAACTATTTTCATATGTAATTTTTTATAGAATTCTTCTTGTTTTGTCGTTCGGGGCATAGATTGCAATCAGGAGTGTTTTCATATTATTGTCCATTATTTCCACCATTAATATTCTTCCGTCGTCATCAGTATAAATCAATTTTGCTGAGATGGTCTCTTTAATATATAAAACCACTCCTCTTTTCTTACATTGTGTAAAGGGAGTGAATATTTTCCCTAATTTTGGCTGTATCAACAATTGTTCGTATTGTTTTTTAATATGTACTTCTTGTAGGCAGATTATATCAAATTTTAATTTCTCTAATTTATGAAAGATTTTCCTTCTTTTAATGGCTGAGTTAAGTTCATTTATATTAATTGTAATCAATTTTTTCTCTTCCGTGGTTATATTTTGTAATTAGGTTTAACAACTCTCGTAGATCTTGGTTCACATTGTTCTTTGGCTTCCTCCTTTCCACCTACTGCACCTTCTTCTTTTTCAGTCGTCATTTGGGAGTCCTCTTGGAATTCAATTAGTGAAATTTCTTTTTCTGCCTCGTCCTCCCCTCGGAAAAATTCTGTGTAAAATGATTCAGCTTTCTCAATTGAGTCAATTCTATATCTCTGTTCTTGCCATGTAAACATTAAACCTTCTGGAATCAGCCATCTACAATTCAACTCTTCAGCAGCTTTAATGGCTGCCTCTTTGCCGCTGGCAAAAAGAGCTTCTCCTGGATCTACCAGGGACTTTGCGATATCCCTGGGATCGACAGGATGCGCTCTTTACATTCACCATCTCTTCGGGACAGTTTAGATCCACTTGGATCGTCCAGGAGCAAAGATATCGGCAGCGATCTCAGATCTCCAAGATCACATGCCGTATCATCGCGACGCCAGCTCCGCCCCCCCCAATTGCAGCATTTTTTAAGGAAGGTACTAGCAGAGAATTGTTTTTCCATGGCTACACTGTCAGTGACAGAAAGAGCAATATAAATCTTCCTTAAATAAACAAGACAAGATGATGTTTTCAATATTTTTTTTACCCAAATAGAAGAAATTATGAAATAATTATATGTATATAATGTAAATAATGTATATAATGTATATAATATATGTATTTAATTATGTAGTTACTGAATAATTATTTAACTGAATAACAATTACTCAAAATAAAGCAAGAAAACTAAATTGGCAAAAAGAAAACAAAAATTGTGAACTGCAGTTTCCTTAGATCCTTTACAAAGAAGGATGTAAAAAAGCTTACACTGGCAAGGTTGAAAATCTTGGTATATATGTAATTCCAGAAATATTATTTTAATGTAAATAAATTGAAATAATTTTTTCAAAAGTCATAGTGGGCCTTATACATAGAAATCCAAAATTAAAATACAAAACTTTTATCTTACCTACTGGAATACAAAGAATATCAGCTTGGAGTTGCATAAGGATCTTGTTGTTGGTCATTCCTCCATCAACTTGTAACTGACGAAGTGGTATCCCACAATCTTTATTCATTGCATCCAATATCTAAAACAAACAATTTCTACTAACTTTTCCAATAAAAACTGGAATATTTTATAAATTACATAACAAATAAGTAAGAGCAAACAAAATTTAGTTGGAAATTTTATTTTGCACTTTGAACTAATTTATTAGAAGGTGAAATTTGCTACAATTTAAACACATTTAGATATGTCTGCCTATAGAAATAAAAACTACAGTAATATAAAAAAAAAACTAAAAAAAACAAACTAATACAGTACTCATAATCTATACCTCCCGTGTTTGAAAGCAGACGGCTTCTAGTGCAGCAAAGGCAATATGGTTTTTATTTGTAAACTGAGTAAGACCGCAGATAATTCTACAAAAGAGGATAAATGATACTACAGTTAGGAATAAAAGTAGTCTAAAATACAATATACTGTTTAATTATGATAATGCAAGTACATGCCTGGAAGGATATATTGGCAATATCTATGGAATCCAACTGAGGATCAATAGTATGGCACTACATATACCTAAGGATCAGTGGTGGCATTCAGCCGGTTCACACCGATTCGGATGAACTGGTAGCGACGATTTGGCATGGGTTGCTGAACTGGTAGTGACTTCTGGATGACCACGCCACCAACCCGGTCACCCAGTTCCTGCTCACTCGCTTGACTTGCCCGCCTGATGCTCGCTTGCCCAGCCCAATGCTCTCTCACCCTGCTTGTCCGCCCGACACTCAATCACTCACCTCCTATGCGGCACTGGGTCCTCGTGGCTTGCCTTTCTAACCTGCCTTCCCATGTGGTGCCTGCACCCCAACGGAGCAACCCTGATCTGCCTGCTCACAGGTAAGCCTGCAAGTCAAGCTAGTCCCCCCACCATCCCCAGAGTTTGCCGGGTCCCCCCACCATTCTTGGAGCTAGCCGTCCTCCTCCCACCATCCCTGGAGCTTGCCACCCTTCCCTTGTCATTGGATCTTACTTTCCGCCCCGTCCTCCTGTCCCTGGAGCTTGCCGAGGGTCCCCCCACCTGGCTGGCTTCGCTGCCAACACGGCCCCATCCCGGGCAGCGGCGCTGGCTGCGGCCTAGCTAGCTTCCCGCCCGCAGCGTCCCTGGGCTTGCCTGGCTGGCTAAGCTGCTGGCATGGCTCCATCCCACGCAGTGCTCTCCCAACCACATGGCGGCCATGGCTCAGCTGAGAGGGTGTGTGGATGTCCCAGGGCTGCACATGCGGTGCACAATTTGCAGCAGCCCTGGGACAAGGGTCCCGGAGAACTAGCACTGCGGCCGCTTGTCCCCCAGGAGAAGGAAGAAAGCACCACAGGTGCAGCCCTGGGACATCCGCCTGCCCTCCCGGAATGCCGTGGCCACTCACTTTCTTCCTTTCTCCCAGGGGACATGTTGCTTCCAGCCCAGCCCAGCCAGTGGGTGGCCCTTGGGGGGAATCTCCGCTGTGCTGGGGCTGAGAGGGGAGGACATGCAGATGTCCCGGGGCTGTGCATGTACAGCAGCCCCAGGACTTCTGCCCGCCCCACCCTCCCAGAGCACTGCCACTCACTTTCTTCCTTTCATCCGCTGGGAGAAGGAAGAAAGTGAGTGGTGGCAGCACTCCAGGAGGGCAGGCGGATATCCCGGGGCTGCAGCAGCCCCAGGACATGCCTCCCAGAGCACCCCTGCCACCTCAGTCACATGACCAAGCCACACCCACCCAGTCACATGACCAAGCCATGCCCACCAATCAAGCCATGCCCATCCTATTGCTAAGGATGGATTAAACCAATCACACCAATGTAATGAGATGTTAAAATTGGACATATCCCCGCCCCCAGTTTTGGGCATTTAATTCTTGTTCATATTTGCTTCTTCTTTTCAGATAATTTGTATTGTCAATGAAAGTGATATTTGGGGAAAGAATGCAATAAATCATAGTCAGGATAATACCCTTAATTCAGACAAAACATTTACTCTTTAAAATTATTTTTGCCTTACTGTTGTATGATTTTGGTAGATCTGCATTTGAACAATATATTGTCATCTATATCAGGGGTCACCAACCTTTTGGACCTCAGGGACCACCAACTCATAATTTTAAATCCCAGGGACCACTAACCAGTTCTGTGGGCATGGCCTAATTTGTGGGTGTGGCTTGGTGGTCATGTGACTGGCTGGGCATGGCTTGTATGTAAATATTATAAATATTTATATAAATATTGAATTTTTTTATTTAAAAAAGAGCAACTTTTACTCAAAATCAGGCAAAGCAGGCAGGCAGATTGAGTTGCTCACAGAATCAGATTCATTCAGAGATCTATCTATCTGCCATTGGCTAACTCAGTCTGTCACATAAAATTTGCTTGCAAGCAAACTCACAAAATTA